TATTAAATTATTCATTATTAAAATGAATGACTTAAAATTATAAATTTAATTATTAAATAAAATATAACTTAAAAAAGCAAGTATTTTAAATTGAATTGTATCATATTATATATTGGCGGTGTATGGCGGAGTCTTTGCACAGAACTGAAATATTATGAGAAATAGTTTTTTACATCCGTAGTATACAATTATATGTGAAAATAAGGATAAACTTAAAAAGAAATTAAAAAAATAAAATTGGCACCGAATAAATTTCAATTCAATTACTTGACTAATTTCATCAATAATTTGGAATTATTTCTATTTTGATAAATGTCAAAGACCTGCTATGGATAATTGCAGTTCTTTCTACTACTTTAAATAAAGATTATAGTAAATAACTTTCTATTTAATTATTACTGCGTATTTTAATCATTTTTTTTCAATAACAAAACAGTTTCTAAAATTATAAAAAAATCTATTTTGCTTTCATATCCCACCTGAGTAAATCCGAAGAAACTTTATATCGTTACATTATACCTCATGTCTCTTTACATCATCTAATAACAAAATATCAAAGTATTTTCATATAATCATATCTTATATATCTTATATACAATAAAAATTGATCTTTACCTGTTTAAAAAGTAATAAAGTGGGTGTTTGGCAAGTTATATTACGTGTTTCTTCAAAAATTTGATATATTATAGTAAGTTTTTTTATTAGATAAAATATTGATATGAGATTAGAGATTAGATACTGTAATATCATTGACTTTATATGAGCAATAAATTATAATCAGTATATAAATTTGTTATACTTACACCTGCAAATTTCCCATATTAGATAGACTTTCAGTATACTTTTTTTATAGTCCGAAACATAAGAAGCATAAGCATAGTACAACACTTCAACTCCAAATTAGGGAATATTAAATTCTAAGATCTTGTGTAACTATCAAAATTTCATTTTTAAAACGCCAAAATGAAGTTTTCATGTCTATAATAATTAGTTATTAAATAATACTATAGTATAAGTATTTAATTAATCTTAACTCAGTCCCACAGTCCAAATAAACTCAGATAGTCAATAGTCTCCTAGTTCCCATGGGTTTACATATGAAAACGCCGAAATGAAACTTTAATCAGTTTTTGCGTCTATAATAATTAGTTATTAAATAATACTGTAGTATAAGTATTTAATTAATCTTAACTCAGTCCCACAGTCCAAATAAACTCAGATAGTTATTAGTTTCCCTAGTTCCCACAGGTTTACATATGAAAACGCCAAAATGAAACTTTAATCAGTTTTGCGTCTATAATAATTAGTTATTAAATAATACTATAGTATACAATATATAATTAATCTTGTTATGTATATCACGCGTGTTTAATTTATTTAAACTTTCAAGTACACTAGTACACTCAAGAGATACTAATACCATTTCTAAACTATATATCAAAAATAAATTTAGCTTGAATAAAAATTTTTTAATAAATTTATTTAATTAACAATAATAAAAGCTTTAATAATATGGGAATATTGCACAATATGGTTTATAGAGAGTAAATCATATTAACTATGTACTATAAGCCACAATTATACATATTAGTCATCATTAAATCAATTAATATTACTAGTTTAGGTTAAATAACTTATAAATTAATTGTGACTCATAGATAATCTTGATTTTTTTATCTATTTTATTATTATTCACTATGTATCTATATATCCAAAGGGTTTTAAAAAATATATAAATACCCTTAATTTCCTCAAGGAAAAAATCAAAAACCAAATTTCAATATTATTATTTTTCAAATCTTACAAATCTTACAAAACTTTTACAATCACCTAAATTTCAATTCAAATTTATAACTTACAATTACAAAATGTCTTATCATTTGTGTCCAAATACTATCAATACTATCTTAAATGAATTTCCTATCAACAAATGTTACAATAATCCTTTACCTATTGCTGAAACATCTCAACATTATTTACCATTACTTATTAGATTTTTTTACATTCTTTTTATAATTCTCCTCATATATACCAACATTCTCACTAATACAATTGTCCTAATTCTTCGCTTATTGAAATTCGTGTGCACTATAATCATTTCTCTCAACCAACTCCCTTCTCTTCCTTCATATCTATTTAATATATTTTATTCTTTTAAACATTTATTATTATCCATATTATTATCAATTCTTTTTCGTATTTTATTTACATTATTATCTATTCTTCTTCATTTTCTTTATTTACTCAATTGCATAATTCAGATTCTCATCTTTTCTTATTCTTTACTTCATAAAATAACCTATTTAGTGAATATTATTCTCCTTTTAATCTCCCAATAGCTTAATTAAATAAACTTATATTACGTAGCTTGGCCTATTGCTTACCAAATATAGCATGGAGACGTAATCTTTCCCCTTTGGTCAACTTGGGATTACTTGACCATTCTTAGATAGAAAATTTTTACAAGGGGATCGTTTGCATTGCCCATGAAGCATAGCGATTGGTGTCAGAGAGATCCTTTGTCTTGTAAAATTTACCTTTCTTGTGATCATTTGATCTATCTCATGTGATTTCCTTCTTCACATGTGATACCCTTTATTTCATTCCTTTGTTGAGTTCTTTCCTTAATAACTTATTAACTTAACAAAATCCATCACCGTTGGTTCCACAATTTTTGTGTCCAAGTTCAATTCTTGGAGGTGATTTTCTTATTAATTAGATTATCTTCTTTTTTTATTCTTTTATAGGGAGTTCCAGACGAAATTACAAACTAGATTTTAGATAGAAAATATTTTTTTGTTTTTTTTAGTGATGTTTTAATTTGTTATTTTCTTTTTCCTTCAGTTAAAAACAAGAGGTCATTTTCATGGGGAGCTTGGTATGCTTATAGAAGATTTTTAAGTAAAAGTTATTGTAAAAAATGACTTGTTATCTGCGTAACTAAAAAAATTATTTGACGTTTAGAATACATCCATATAAGTAATTTGAATAGTATAGCAGAAAAATTTATAATTTGGTTGGCTATCAGGTCATGTAAACATTCCGTTCATGTGGCTAATCCGATTCCAGTTAATTTTGATATTTTTATGTACATTGATATGTGCTTAGACGTACGCCTTTATGTTTTGATAGTACATACATTTACAAAATTAAAATATTTTTGTACAACTTTGGCAGTTCATGATCAGCCGCTATCTTGGAATTTTTTTACGAAACTTTTATTTCTTACTAATAATTTCTTTTTTATAATTATTTCTTCCAACGAACAGTTTTTACTACTATGATAGGATTTTTTAATATATACAGTTAGGGAACATGTTACAACTAAATGTTTGTATCTGGATCAGTTTCTACTAACTATGTTTTGAACCCAATACTATATTTATTTTTTTGAAAATTTGGAATAAGATCCTTTTAATTTCACGAAAAAATCACAGTTTTAATGAGAATGTTCTTAAAAAAATATTGATCAAAACGAAAACTAAGATAACTTCCCTAATTGTACATATCTAAATAATTTATTTTCGTGCTTATTTCATTTTTTTGAAAAACATATATACACTTGCACACGATTTATTATAATTATAAAATCATGTGATACCGGATAAGATACTGCCGAAGATCACAATGTATTAGTAAGATATAACTTTTCTAAGCCGCTTGGAAATGAAGAAGGATTACAATATTTTATTGTCCAATATTCACAACATAACTTTTAAATTAAACAAGAGGAGGTACACTATGGATATGCATTTGAAACTGTGAGAAGTGAAACTCGTTAACTTACTGGAAGAAAGATCAGGAGAGAAACTGTGAAAAGTTTCTATTTAATGTGTTAATTTACAAAAAAAATATATAAAGTTATTTTGATAATATTTTCTTTATTATAAATGTGTTAAACGAAATCTCAATATTAGATTATAATTTGCATATATATTTAGATTTACATGAATATTGCAGTAACAACAGCAGAATTTAGCAGGGATTAGCAATTAGAAAATAAAAAGAATAATCTTTTAACATTATCAGTATACAAATTAAGAAAAGAAAAAAGGATCCTACTGTTGTTAAAATTCTTGAACCATCAAAGTTCCACTGGATAGCAAGTGCAGGGTCGTCTAAAATTCAGTTTCTTATACGCGCAAAGCGCATATCATTAATAAAATTCATATGCGCAACCTACTAATTTCATATATTGGATTAGATAATGATAGGTGCTACTAAAAAAAATGCCGCCTAATATTTTCAACGAAATACGCGGGAAATAAAGGTATTATACGCTGCGCCTACTGCGCGAATCCAATTTACATCACTGGACTTACTCGCTCGTCTTCCTTAATTTTTGTTATGGCTGATAGTATACTTTTGTTCATATGGGTTCTTTGCTAGAAAAATAACCTTCTGAGAAATTTTTTAACTAATTTTGAAGTTAATTTCATTTTGTTCTACTTGTTTTAAAAAATGGAGAACAATAAAATCTTAATTTTTGTTAAAAATTTCTCAGAAGGTCATTTTCCTAGCAAATAACCCATATGTTCATTATCGAAAAATTGTAATTTTTCTAAATACATTAGATCAAGCTTTAATATATATATATACTACGTGGCTTGTTATGCGTATTACTAATCGGTGGAATAATCTAAGCGTCACTGATCACGCGACTAACGAGTTATATTCATCAGTTCTGTAACGCCCTTTGATGTAAGATGAGTATACAACTTTTTCCTTAATATATTTTACCGCATCATGTGTTTTAATTATTTCTATTTAAAAATTTATTTTATTTAGTTATTTGACTAGACGCAATTATTAAGATTATCAAGTAAATATCTTAATAATTAAATAATTATGTTATTAGTGCATAAATTTTAATCTTTAAGTAAAACTAACATATATTCATTACAGGAACGAGATAATCTGTTTAATGACATAAATTAGTTAAATTACGTATTAGATTATCTTTATAATGGCAAAAATTCCCATCATCGGGAATGTTTTATATCGGATTTTATTTATAAAAAAAACTTGTGGACATCCAATTAAAAAAATCATTAAATATTAAATAAAATAATTATCATTTAAATTCTAATTCGGGCCAACATAATTTAAATAGACATTATAGTGGTGTCAATTAAATACAAATCGTTTTTTGAAGAAGAAAAAGATACTGTAGTAAAACTTTACAATTCTGATACAAATTTTTTAACTGTTGCTAAATTGGTCATAAGATTAGACGATAATCTGAAATTAAGTATCACGCATTACATTTATGTGATTGAAAAACATTCAAAAATGAAATTCCTATGAGTGATAGTGTATACCCACTATAAGAATGAATGATCTTTATGTGAACTCGTCTTAAAATTTGCAATCAGATTTTGATTTCGTGAAGTCCCTCGGAAATTTTAATTCAATTCTCTCATAATGGAACAGTTCAGGAACCAGAAGAACATGGGGGGATATATCCAGGACATCAAGAGAAATTAATTCTTGTTTATTAAGATTTTAATTCTACTAGTAATTGCTCAGCTGCAAGTTTTTCTAAAAAATCTTGACCATCCATCTTAAAAAGAAAGAAATTCATTTTTAATGTATGATTTTTTTTTTTTGCATAACTAAAATAAACAATGTTCATACCTCAACAGGAAATATGCTTTGTATTCCTTTTAGTTCCAAATTTAAAACATGTGACTCTAGATTTTTCTTTGTAAAAGAATTTCTAAAATAAATACGACATTGAAAAGGAGATCTAGTTTTAACGTACTTTGAAACTTTTTGCCAACTTTTCCCATATAATCTTACAGCTTTTATTAATCTTATGATTTCATTAACTTCCCAAAAACCACTTTTATAATAAGGATCAGCTAAGGGACACCATCTCACATGTTCTTTTATAGAACTAACTGAACGATGAGGCAATAATTTTTGAATGCTTCTCCAGTCTTTACCATACTTTATAATAGAATCACTAATTAATTTGTTTTCTTGATCAGTCCATTTTATATCTTTAGAAGAATTTAATAAAACAAATTTAAAACGTCTTTTAATGGTACTGATAGGTCTATTCATATCATCAGCAATCTTTGTCCAATGATTTCCACCATATTTTATTATTAAATCACATAATAATTTATCTTCTTCTTCAGTAAAATGCCCACGTTTTGTATAATTAATAATACAAAATCTTCTAAGTACTTGTAAGGATTCTTTATTTGGTAACAATCTTGAAATTTTTCTCCATTGTCTACCATATTTTTCAAAACCTTTTAATAAAATTTTATCTTCTTCTGGAGTCCATTTTGATATAATATTTTTATGATTATTTTCAATCCTTAAATTTTCTCTATCCCATTTACATTTAATTGAATATAATGATCTATAATTAAAATAATGTTTATGAATATATTTCCATCGATTTCCATGAATTTCTGATGCTAAAAATAAAAGTTTTGTTTCTTCTTCTTTCCATTCCTTCCAATTATAAACTTTTGCTAATTTTATAGATTCTTCTTCTAATGATTTAATTAATGATTTTGCTTCTGTTGAAGATTTAAATTTATTTGATAATGGGATAGATGAATTTGTCTTTTTAGTAAAAGTTCGATAGGGTATATTATATTTTCCAAAACATTTTATAAAATAATTATTAAATATTCTAAAATCATGTCTTTTTTCTATTCCTTTGAGAAATATTTTATTAGCGAAGTACAAAACATGTTGAACATACATACGGGTATGAAAAAAAAAAAAAAAAAAAAATTTTAA